GATTTCCCCTGTTGTTTCAAGTTAGCTTATTAAGTTTTGCACTTCCTTCTTCATTTCTGCCTGAATTTTCTTCAATGTTTCTATCTCTTTTGTGAATTCATGGAAATTTATCCCTATCTTCTTTTAGTTCTTTGTTTGTTTTTTTCATGTGTTCTTTAAATTCATTGAATCTTCTTTTAGCTCTTTGATTTGTTTGTTCATGTATTCTTTAAATTCATTGAGTTCTTTGACCATGTTTATGATTGTTCTTTTAAACTCTAAGGGGTTCTCCTTATAGAACTCTTCTACAGGATATGTGGAGTTTGGTGGGTACGCAGTGTTTTGGCTTTCCATCTTATTATTCTTTTGTTGTCATCTTGGCATGTGAATTTCTTTTGTTGTTTATGATTCTGATATGAGAATTAAGTTGAAGTGTGCTTCTGTTTGTATTATCAGAATGGCTAGGTCCTTTCCTTAATGGTTATGTAAAACTGGTTGGTATAGGTTTCAGGTTCTCTTAGGTTTTATTTTGGAGGCAACTGATGGCTTCAGATCAGCACCATGTGGAAGCAGGATTTGGGCACTCTCAGGCAGTCCCCTGCCTTCTCATCCCCTATGCCAGAAGGAGGCCAGAACTGGCACTCTCTGGAGGTGTGCTGAGATCACAGCTGCTACACCAATGGAGGTCAGAGCCCACCCTCTCAGGCTGTCTGCTAGGATCTCTGACTTTGAGAGTTCTTAAGCCTTGCCAGATTTTCAGTCTCTCTCTGCCTCCTTGAAGATGTGGTTGTTTGACTTTCTGGCCATGCAGTCCTCCCCACCATTATTAACCCTTATCCCTGGAAGTGTAAGCTAAAGTAATTCGTCCTTCTATACCTTGCTTTTATCATAGCAACAGAAAAGTAACTTAGAAGATAGGCAAGCAAGCGGACAAAGCAATGTGATGCGATAGCGCTGGAGGGATGATTTGATTGGCTGATCTGATTAGGTGCTTTTCATAAGATGAAGGATGAAAGTAGGTGATTATACTATTTCATAGCCATAGCCTTCTATAAGTTGGAAGGCACAACACATACCCAGATCAAGGAAATGAGATGTAAAGTGTGAGATTGTCCGTGTCTTTTGTTGTTCCTTGTTGCTTTTGGTATCATAAGAAAGAAATGAAAGTCAGAACTACTTGTTTTGCATGCAGACATAGAAGAAAATAAGACTGTCTAGAAATTTAGGGCCTACAATATTGAAAAGAGTTACTTTTATGTCCCAAACATTAATACAGATAAAGGGAAGTCAGGATGTTTTTCTCCCCCAAAGCCCTATTATTTCTGCTAGCCTCATGGCAGCCTCCATTAAGAGGGGCAAACAAGGAATGGGCATAAGGGAGCAAAGAACTAAATTTGAAGAACTACAAATTGAACAGATGGTGTTTGTGGTTATCTGCACAAGGAACTGACTGAAAGCAATTAGATCAGAAGCTTACAAAGGTTTTAAGACAATCCAGTTGCCAGAGAAACTGTGAGTCTAGCCTAAAATCAAAAAAAAAAAAAAAATTCAGGCCTTCAAATTTGTGCCAGTTGAAAAAGAGTTGTGAATGATGTACAGCCGCTGAGGAGGGCATACACTGGAACAGTCATCTCTGATATGGCTAGGAAAGAGTATGGATAAAGCAGATCTTCTAAGAGATGCCAGCTGACCAGTGTTTGACCTAGGCACTTCTTCCACCGCCAAAACAGTCTCTGCAGTTGTTACTGAGCAGGAAGTGAAGACGGCTGTGATCAGATGCTGTATGCATTCTTCTCCTGACAGGAGTTTGTAAAGCAGTAAACCCTGAGCCCTCGGCACCACTCTGCATGCAGGGTTGGGGAGCAGGAGCTTGTTGAATGGTTTGCATGATACTGGCTATCAGAAGTCATTTCAGAGCTTGACTTGGACCTGACCCCATCTTGTGGCTCTCTCCCTCACTTCAGTGTGTTCACCTCTGCAGAGAAACCACTACAACTAAAACCATACACCTTGACTGTCCTGTAGTCTCTTCACACCTTTTCTTCTCTTCATAGCATTCCTTGTCCTGCTCCTTACTGGAAAATAGTCTTCTTTGAGGCAGGACTTGATCTTGTTCCTAGCTGAAACCTTGGCACTGAGAAATAACATTTGTAGTCTCCTGAAAAATATTTGTTGAATTAAAAAGATTAAATAGAGGCTGGAGAGATGGCTCAGTGGTTAACAGTACTGTCTTCTCTTGAAGAGGCTGCAGGTTCAGTTCCAGCATCCACATGGCAGCTAATAACTGTTAATTCCAGTTTCAGGGAGTCCAACTCCCTCTTCTGACCTCTGTGGGCATTGCACACACAGATGCACTTACATACATGCAGGCAAAACACACACATTAAAAGAAATTTAAAAAGACTAAATAATGAAGAGCTTCCAATTTCTAAATGTCAGAAGTTATCTAAGTTGTTGTATATCAGCCTCCTGACAATGGCAGATTATTTATGCATGAGAAAATTTGGATTACTCCTTGTAAGGTATCATGTGGCAGAAAACACACCAAATGTTTGTCCTACTGGTTGAGTGGAGCTATTACTAAAAGCAAGACATTTGATCTCATTCTTGCTTGTTTGTTGTAAGGGTGAGCTACTGGGGCTGAGGGTGCAAGGCAGTGGTAGAATGCTTGCTTAGCATGTATGAAACCTTGAGTTTAATCCCCATCTCTGTAAAAACAAAAAGGATGGAGATAATGAAGTATCACTCCTATAGGAACTCCATCGCTTTTTTTGGTTTTTTAATCACTGTGTTCAGAACTTTAACACAATGCTGAGCTACACCCTGGAACTCCTTTTAGAGCCTGCTTCTGCATGATCCAGCAGACTGATAATAATTGCCACTTACTCAAGGGAGAAGCTAAAGTTTACAGGCAGTATTTTTGTCAATACAAACCAACCTATTTAATACTTAAACATTTGAGCCTCACGTCCATCAGTGTGCTGAGCACAAGGCGGGAAGTAATACAATAGGTACTTCCTCCTTTGGCTCTTGGTTAGCAGGACTCAAAGTGGCAGAGAAAACTACAACACAACATACTGAGACCTATTCCTGAAGACATGCAACATTATAGAAGTACACAACACAGAAGTCAGCCAAGCCAAAAAAAAAAAAAATCACAAATGCATTTTTAGGTATCAACTAAGTTTGGACTCAAGGTGTAAGTGGAGATTGTTCAAATGAGGAAGGAGATGAAAGTTTTCTAGGCTAGTATATGTCAGGAGGGGTACGCAGACATCTATCTCTCTCACCCACCAATCTTCTCCCTCCCATCTATCTTTAATTTTTAGCCTGTAGGTTGAGTCACATAGCCACTGGTTAATGTAGCTTATTCATGAACCCAACGAAGGAGCCAATGATAAAGAGCAAAGAGTGGCTTGTGGGGATCTGGAACCAAGCCTGCACAAAAAATGCTTACAAAAAATTTGATTTTCAGCAGAAAAAATATTTTGACTCCTACATTTTTGGACTTCATTAGAAGGATCTGAAATGGATGACACCAAGCTGTTTGCCTAAAATAATGTCCCAAGCCTGAACTGGCATGGATATTTCTAAGATTAAAATAGAAACTTGTTTTGCTAACAGAAAACAACTTGGAAATCAAAGAGACACTTAAGTTGGAACCATTATTTTTCCTTTTCTTGCAGAAAATTCCTGGTTTTATACACATTGAGAAATCAGGATGGTAAGGCCACCCTGCCACAAAACTTTCCATTAACAGTTTGATGTTTCAGAAACCTCAAAAAACAAAAAATTGGGGGGTGGGGTGGAATTTGTAAAACAGCAAATTCATTCAACTACCATTTATAAACACCTACTATGGGCCGGACAATGCTGCAGGCACAAAACAAATATAGCTGCCCTTGTAGAGTGTGACTTCTAGACAGAAGACATACAAGCAAACAAATTACAGCGTTAAATAGAAAGCAAACAGTATGGAGAAAGGGCAAAGTACGTGGGCAAGGGGCACCAAGAGGGGCAAGGTGAGATTTTCAGTAGCGCTCAGGGTGGACCTCCTCAGGACTTTTGAACAGCCTGAAGAAGGTGAGATTGGAACTCTGCAGCCAAGGGCCTTAAGGCAAGGGCAGGCATGGGGTAGGGGGAGGGGCGCCAGAAAGAATAAGAGGCCAAGAACTGGAGGGAGAGAGGGCAGCAGACCATTAGGGGTAGGATTTGAGAGGAGGAATGACTTAACGTTTAAAACATTAGCTTTAGTATAACCGAGCCTTTTCATGGGAGCAGTCCTTTAGCCTAATGCTTTTAACTTTGCAATAATACAGCAATAATGACTTCAGTGGTTCCCAAGATCAGCCACCCCAGACTCCTAAGTTAACAGCCCCTCCTCTGGAGGACAGAGCCCCGAAGGCCAGCCCAACCCACAAAGTGCTCAGAGACAGGGTCAGTCTGCACGTTTCTTCAACACTCAACTTCAGAGCCAAGCGTTTCTTTCACTGGGGTACAAGATTAAAGTGCACATGCCCACGCCAGCTCTGAGCAGGGCCTCTCTTCCTTCGCCTGCTGTGGTTTCACTAACTGCAGACTGCTCAGGTCCAGTCCAACACGGTTCCCATTCAGGAGCCAAAGGCTGGGGCTCGTCCCCGCGGTCTCCACCTGTCCCGACAGGGAGGACGCGCGGAGCACGCACCACCATTTGCCCTCCCCAGGCCAGGCATGCAACTCTGCTAGCAGCCCAGGGCTCGCGCTGATCCGCTGAGACATGGCCTGCACAGCGTCCGCGCCAGGGATTGCCAGAGCCCGGGAGTGCCGGGCCAGGCGGGCAGGGGGTGGAAGGGGCAGAGGTGGGGACGGGGGTAGGGGGGC